GCCTGTAATGCTCTGGTTTTATCTGAGGTTGGCCTTTGGGTGTGGTGATTCTTGTGCTGCTTTCGCTGGACCCAGTCCATACAGGTGTTCAGCAGCAGAGACACGGTGAGCATCTGATTCCTGGCTGTCTGTTCAGAAAACAGTGATCACCCCTCAAAATTTATGTTCGAAAGCAAGGCGCCTACCTGTTCCTGTAGCCCAGTCCTGTGTGTTCGAGATAAAAGCATTTTCAATAACCGTTATTATCCATCAACCAAATTTATAGATAAACATCATTTAAAAGGGAATGCTATGGATTGGACAGTGTCCTGGCAAAATTGATGTTACAGTCCAAACCCTCAATGTGATGGTATTTGGAGATGGGGCCTTTGGGACGTAATCAGATCAGGAGGGTAGAGTCCTCATGAATGGATTAGTGCCCTTTGGACAACAGAGTAGAGAGTTGGAGCGCGCTCTCTCTCTCTCTCTCTCTCTCTCTCTCTCTCTCTCTCTCTCAGCCATGTGAGGACACAGCAAGAAGGTAACCACTGGTAAACAGTAAGGGAACCTCAGCAGACATCAAATCAGCCAGCACCTTGATCTTGAACTTTCCATCCTCCAGAGCTGTGAGAAATAAATGTCTTGTTTAAGCCACTACTTCTATGGCATTTTGTTATAGCAGCCCAAGCTGACTAGGAAAAGAGAAGTATTGATTTTAGTGTTAATTTTCAAATCAGAATAGACATACTCAATTAGTAAATTTAAATAAGCAATTTAAATGAATAGAAAAAATAAATCATGTCTCGTTATTTAACTATGTTGTCAATGAGAATTTCCAGTGAAGCCGCCACTCACTGGTAGGTAATAAAATCAGTATTAAGTGACTAGTATGTATTAGTGTGGCATATGTGTATTTTTAAGTATACATGAAAAATATTTGAATGTTATGGTCAAATAGACTTGTCTCTAAGCACATGTCAGAGCATGGGGAGCAAGTCCAGGTCCAAAATCTGGACTAAGAACATCTACAGCCAAGTCAGTTCAGACTGAAAGTTCAGAAAGTAACAGAGTAAACTGTCATTACTGGAATATTAAACACAGAGAACTGAGAGATGAAATAGATGAGCAGTAGATAAGTTTAAAAGTAGACTCAATACCAAAACATCAGAGAGAAGAGGACCTGGCATCAAAGGGGAACACAAGTCCCCGACTCTTATAGATGTAGCAGGACTGTGTCCAGCTTCCTAGATTCAGGGCGAGTCACTGTTTTGGTTAATTGGTCAAACCCAGAGGTGCTTAGAGATTCGTGACCATTCAGTCAGTCAACAACTATTTCTTTTTTATTTGGATTTCTTCTCTTTCACCATTTTTACTGCTTTGTTTGTATTCTAGACCTACATTAATTCTTGCCTGGGCTGCATTAACTGACTTCTAAATGGCTTCCCTGTCTTTTGGCTGACTTTTTTTGATACCACTGAGTGAGGTTTTTGGTCTTAAACTCTCTTCCTTACGATCTACTTCATGCCTATGGTTTCTCTTCTACAGCCAGCTGGTGTGTGCCAAGAATTCAGTTATTATGCTGCCCAAGCCAAGTGGCAGCTAGGGGAAAAAATAACTAACTGAAAGGACAATTGAATCACATATAACATTCCACTTACTTTTCCCCTTAATTTGAATAATTTTTGCATTCTAGACTATAAACCTATTTATATCTCAAATCATCCTTTAAAAAATGAAAATATAAAGGAAAAATATATTAAAAATAATAATAAAATAAAATTAGAAAAAGCTTCCATCATTTAAAACCCCATCTAGATACCATTCTCTCTTTTCCTTAGATACAACTATGAAAAACGTTGCTTATTTTCCTTACGTACACTTTCCCATTTCCACTCATGCCTTAGCCCACAGTCCATTTTTTGCACTCTTTGCCTTTTTCCTGAAGTCCACATCGATATACTCTGTCATAACGAAATTTGTGTTTTGCAGTCTATATTTTCTTTCAACTTCTAAAGTGCTTTTCAAACTTTTGATCACTGACTTTCTGAAAGTTTCCATTCCCTCAGTTTTCAAGACATTCACACTATTAGAAAACTTCTTTTAGAATCATTCACAGATTGATTTGTTATTGTTGTTGCCCTTTAATGAAAAATCACTTTCCCTGACTTCTCTCATCCTGTTCTTGCAATAATAGCTTTTCCTATGGAACACATCTTCCTTATTTCATTCATCTGTTTATTTATTTTACCATAAGCCTAGGGCTCATAGCGAACTTAATGCTCCCCAAACTAAACTCAAACTTTGTTTCACCAAGCATTCTCTAACATTGGTCATTTTAGTCAGTAGCAAGATATTTATCTGGACAGCAAAGAAATTTGGAATTCAGCCTTAATTATTCTCTTTTTCTTTACCTCATATTCCTATTAATTTTATCTTCTGATTTGTTTGTGTTTCTCTCCCTTTTTTATGTTTCTTGACTACAAATAATTTATATTGCCTTTTTTTTTTTTTTTTTTAGCTGTGCCATCCTGCCATCTGTTGGCAGCTCAGCAGCAGCTCAGCTCGGGCCGGGACTCGCACTGCTGTTGCTCAGAGCTTGCACGCTTGAGCGAGCTCTTAACCAACTGAGCCACTCAGCCGGCCCTCATATTGCCATAATTTTTAACCTGGACTTTTGCCATGGCTTGTAATTACACAGGGACTATATTCATTAATGAGAGCCCAGAAAAATTAGAGACAAACAAAAAAGCAAATAAGAGTTATATCTAATCTTATTAACTGATTTAATAGTTATTAATATTTTGATATACTTCTTAGATATTTTCCCTATTAACATACTTTTTATATAATTACACACACACACACACACACACACACACACACACACATACACAGCCTAACAATTAAGTTTGCGAACTCATCCTAGAAAAAGTGCTACATACCTCATTGCTGAATATCACCACAGTCACCTGTGAAGTCCCCTTGGAAAGCTATGCACTGACGCCAGAGCCTAGTACACCCTTCAAAGCAACTTTGGAACTCTTTTTCTGGAATGGCCATCAGAGCTGTCATCGTATTACCCTTGATGTCCTGAATGTCATCAAAATGTTTTCCTTTCAATACTTCTTCATCTTCAGGTAAAGAAAGAAGTCATTGGGGGCCAGATCAGGTGAGTAGCAAGGGTGTTCCAATACAGTTATTTGTTTACTGGCTCAAAACTCCCTCACAGACAGTGCCATGTGAGCATTGTTGTGATGCAAGAGCCATGAATTATTGGCAAAAAGTTCTGGTCGTTTTCGTCAAATTTTTCCATGCAGCCTTTTCAGCACTCCCAAATAGTAAACTCTGGCAACTGTTTGTCCAGCTGGTCAAATTCATAATGAATAATCCCTCTGTACTCTCGGCTTATGACTAGTTATTTATATTCTCACAAAACCATTTACACCTTCCCACATGTTTATACCTTCCCAGTTTCTACCTTCTACATGTGGTTCTAAGTGAAAATCCACATCAATGAACCTCACTTAGTAAACACCTGCTCATTCTTCCGAGTCTACTACTTCTTCCATGCAGCCAATTATAATACAAAAGTCACTTCTCTCTTGACCCCCTTAAATTTACATTGTGTAGTTTACCTTGCTGGATTGTATTCCAATTTTTAAAATAAACATATATTTCTCTTAGTTTTCATCACTCAGCCTACCTATAGTTCTTAATGCATCTTTGTTAAATAATGCATTGAAGAAAGTGAATAAAGCTCACTATCCACTGACAATGCTGGCAAGTTCAAGCAGGCCAGAGCCCACAGGGAGAGACAGCCTTTATGTGAAGGTCTGTCAGGTTTCAGAGAAAGGGTGGACATGTCAGAACTGGTGGTTTGTCTGGGCTGAAACTCTCAAACAAGAAGGAAGGACAGAGATCATGCCTTCATGCTCTGGGAAGGTCAAGAAGAAAAGTCCGGGGACCTTTAAAGCCGAGGAAGTTTTTAAACCTGAGTGTGATTCTATTCCATGTCATTAACGACATGTTTCCTGACTTAGCCTTGAGGAATCTTGCCCCTGATTTTTTTCCCGTCGTCAGTAGACTGTAAGAAACTTAGAAAGGAGGGCAATTAAGAGAGACCTATACAATATTAGGAACATTGGACTAAATGCCACCTTTGGAAAGATCCTAATAAAATTACAAAGTTGGCATGGGGATAGTTTTTGTCACATAGCTAGCATCTTTAGAACACTGCCAGATGGGTTTTGGGAATTGTGTTACTATGTATTCAGAAAACTCCAATCAATCTGGTAGTTTTAATATTTTAATGTTTGAAGATAAAGCTCCGAGTATGAATAATGTCCACAAATGTATGCAGTTGGTTAATGGCAAAGGGAAGAGTTGAATAACCAAGCTCTACTACTAGGGATGGACAAAAGCTCAGGAAACAAAGGATAAAGATAAAAGAGAATATGTCAATAGGATAGCAACACCGAGCTTGGAGTTGGAGAACAATTTTGGCTACATAATGGCGGAAGAGGAATTAGCAGCTGGCTGCTGACACCTATTATGAACACCAAGGGGGATAGATACACCACCTTGTGCTGCTGCCGGCAAGGTGAGGGCTTTAAACAACTTGGATTTCAGTGATTCTTCTAACAAAGGTTTAAAGCTGGATGTTAAGTCTAGTTCCATATTGCTTATTTGTATTTTCTTGTGTTTCAGTCAGATGGAAAGCAGGAAAGCACTGGAGGCACGGTGATGGAATTAAGTTGGATCAAACCCAGAAGGGGTTAGTGAGAAGGTCACAGGGTTTGGACAGGAATGAGGATGGATTCCTGCAGCGACCGGAGACTGTGGTTGGGCTGATGCCTGGAGGACTGAGGAATGGGCCGGAATGTGAGCTCTTACGTGGCAGTGGATGTTAAAGGGAACAATCTGGATGTGAAGGGAAAGCCTGGAATGAAGAGTGAGACGAGCACTCTCTCGAGGAGGCCTGTCTGTGACACTTTGGCATTCCTGTTTTACTCCCTGCCAAACGCCCCTATTCCATTTTCGTTTTGCAAGCTCCTTCTTTTCCATCATGCCAATTAATTGAGAGGTGGACAGTCTGATGAGGTAGGGAGGAGAGGGGGATTATTCTGTTTCTGGTTTTGTCTCCACCTCCCCTGGAAGAATCAGTATGGCAGAGCCAGGAGTGTGGCTGTGAAGTCCAGGACAGGTACTGATATACCTTTGTCTGGTACTAACTGTAATTTCAGGTAGTTAGTTTACTCTCACAGTCTCCATGTCCTCATTTATAAAATGAGGATAATAGAATATGTATTTTGAAGTGTTATATAGAAGATTAATTGAGATCCTCAAAAAAAAATGAAGGCAAGCATTTGATCGACACTCAATAAATGACCTTAGTTACGTTTGTTATTGTTTCCATTTTCCCTTTAAGTGTTCCATCAGCTCCTTTCTTGTCTTACTGTCATTCGTTTGATAAATTCAACTATGAATCCATGAGTATCAGGAGGCTGGGAAAAATGAAAAAAGGGGACGAAGGCTGAGTGTGACGCAGCTCAGAGCGTCAGTGTGCTGCGATGTCGGGAAGGAGGAGGTAGGCAGGTTCACAAACAGCGGTAGCCCCAAAAGGCAGGGAAAGGGGCTTCAAGGCCCTCGCCCACAATCTGTCTGCCCAACTTTTTTATGCGATCTAGATGCATGTCCTGAATTTCATATAAAAGGGTTTGCTTCTGTAGCTGCCAACACTCCATATGCCTCCCTCCCCCTTCAAGAGATTTTCATCTTTAAACTCCAATAGGAATTCTGGATGTGGCACTGCTAAGAAAAACAAAACAAAAAAAAGACTGACTTTCCACACCAACAGAGCTTTGGGGTGTGTGGCATCAATAACTCTAATATGGTTCAGGAACCTCCAAAGAGATTTCTGAGCCTCACCAGCCCTGTGTACCAGAACCTTCGGAAGCTGTATTTTTTTATACAACCCCCCACTGTGCTCTTATAAAACTAAACTTTGAACGTTATTGGTGTGTGCACATTGTCCCTAAGCTAACACACAGCTATATAGGAGCTACCTCTTTGCAGAAACATTTTTAGATAATTGATGTAGTTTAAACATCAAAGAGTATGGCAGAAAATCCCAGTCACCTTTCCAATGCCCCTTCACTGTTTCTTTCCTAAAGAGACATTATTTTGATAGTCTCAAAATGTTTCTAGTAACAAATTACATTTCCAGGCTGCCTCATAGATAGGAGTAGGCAATAAAATGTAAACAGACACGCTTAACTGGGGTTTCTAGGAAAGCTCTTGAAGAATGGAAGGGGAGTAACTCAAAGGGGGAAGTCATCTTGTGCCCTTCCTCTTCTTCCTTTTATTTTTTTAAATTTTTTATTTATTTATGTTTTAGCTGAGCCATCCTGCCACTGTTGGCAGCTCAGTGGCAGCTCAGCTCGGGCTGGGAATCGAACCAGTGACCCTGTTGCTCAGCGCTCACACTCTTGAGTGAGCTCTTAACCAACTGAGCCACTCGGCCGGCTCCTCTTCGTCCTTTTAAAATGAGGACATGAAGGTGAGGGTTCCAGAAGTTATATTGTGACTACAATGTCACCTTAATAATGAAAGCCAAGGGCTAAGGTTGGTGGAGCCCAGAGAAAGAATCGGCAGGGGGCCCTGATGACCGCTGAGCTGCAACGTAGCCTCTGGACTCCACTTGTTATTTTCCGTCTCTAATAATAAGAACTGAAACTACCTAAATGATACAGAGCTTATACTTTTATTATGTTATTACTTTTAGAAAAGAGATTAAAAAATGTTCCCAGTCAAAGTGAATGTTAATGTGTGGTCCAGAAGTGAGTGCTGATTCAGAATACAAACTCATGCTGGGTGTGTGGGAGCGCTGCTGACCCCAAAATCATTAGGAAGAAGAGCTGCTCAGAAGGTCTGAACACCTTTGGTGTACAGGGCACAGGTGGCATTTCGCAGCTATAAGCCTGGCCTTTTTGAGTCATGGCCAACACTCAGTTTGGGTAAACTTATTACCCATACATATCCCAATTTCCTGAGAGATGTCACTCAGATATGGTAGTTTTCTGCTTAGTTTCCTTATGTTATCACTTATTACATTTGCTGATGGAAAGAAAAAAAAAAAACTGTCCTAGGAAAATATCCAAAAAGCAATTAATTGTTTGGTACTTCAATGCAGGCTGTAAAATAATTAGTTAACTTCAAATAAGTAATGACTTGATGCCACGTGAATATCTCCCATGCACACATATTCCAGTTCTTTTCACTTATGTATATGACTATCAATAATGTTAAACATTGAAAGAAAACACCATGTTCTTTTTCTCTCTTTACTCTTCCCCCATTTTCTGATTCTTTTCTCTTTCTTGGATGCACAATGAAAAATCTTGGGAGATTACTAAGAAAAATGGTGAAAATAATAACAAAATGAAATGTTTGTTTTATCAAAAATTATGACTAAACAATAAAACTGTTTTCATCTTGTTTGAATCACTGCAGGTAATTTGCTTTTAAAAACCCCAACAATGTGTGGGGATAAATACATATTCATATATGTACATATTTTAAATCTTTGAGTTTTTCATATTAAGAGATAATTCATATAAATCTTCAAATATGAAGCCAATAACAGTAACCAAACCATCTATTTTAGTTGGTAAAGCAGATATGCACTGTATCCTAGTTGTCCAAAATTCAATCTCTACTGTCTAATTTTAATGAGTATCTCTTCTATGTTTCCATTCGTAGTCTGCAATTCATCAAGGATTTTGTATCCCCTAGTAATTGTTTCTATTTCTCTAAGGCTGTACAATTGTAGAAGATATATTAAAACTTTGAACATTCCTAATGCCAAAACGAGTTGAAACAGTAATGTCACTACATTAATAACTTGAAGTCCTTGTCCACAGTGTATTCAACAATAATTTGGCATACTGAAAAAATGTTTCTGATTAATATACTTAAACTGAAAATCTAGTATATAAAATCAGTGGATACATAGAAATTTGAAAAGGGTGAGCACATGTTTTTTTGCCGTGCTCTGCACTTCGTGAGTTTATGGAGCAATAAAAGTTTTATGTGGTGACATACTCAGGTTTTCATAAAAATATTTCTTGTTCAATATCAAATACATTTTTGGGAACAGCACCGGACATTTAAAAGGTCAGTAAGATGAAGAAAATTTTCCAGAATCAGCTCTATATGTTCTTTCGGTTATAGCAATGTGCAGTGGCCCAATCACTATTTTTTATATAGGTAGTCCATTTCAAAGTTAAAAGGCATATTCGATCAGAGTTTTGCCCTAATGCAAGCATCATGAACACGAAAATCCATTGTCATAAGTGACTTTTCAAAGACATATGTACATACGCAGGGCATTTTCTGATTTTTTATTACTTCTGAGAAAACAGGCAGAATAATGTGTTTTTGTTCCAATTGCTCATACTTAAACATTTTTTTATATTTTCTTTTTTTGTTATTATATTTATTGGGGTGACAGTGGTTACTAAAATTATATAGATTTCGGGCTGGCCGAGTGGCTCAGTTGGTTAAGAGCTGGCTTGGGACGCCAGAGGACCCCAGTTCGGATCCCACATATGAGGGCCAGTGACACTGCCCTCTATAGCTAAGATGCTGAACAACAGCTCAACCTGGAGCTGGCCTGCCGTGAGTTGCTGGTGACGGCGTAGGCTGCAGCCACTGCTGCAGTGGGTTGCCATGGGCTACCTACCGCGTGTAGCCAACAGTCAGCGTGAGTGTCCAGCAGCCGCAAACGGCCGTCCAGAAGCCAGGGACTGATCTGCCTCACCCGGGAAAAGCACAATGATGGTGCCAACTTGGGCCAGTGAAGCAATGTCCTCCACAACTAGACTGAAGAATAAAAGGACAGCAACTTGTCTGTTCCCCTTCCCCCAATTCCCCACCGCTGTTCCCATCCCCCAATTCTCCAATAAAAATCTTAAAAAAATAAAATAAAATAAAATTATATAGGTTTCAAGTGTACAATTCTGTAACACATTATCTATATATCACATTGTGTATTCACCACCCAGAGTCAGTTCTCCATCGCCATATATTTGACCCCCTTTACCTTCCTCTAGCACTCCCTCCACCCACCCTTACCCTCTGATAACCACTAAACTGTTGTCTGTGTTTATGAGTTTTTGTTTCAAAGAATATTATCAGTACGAAATAGTATGTTACATCAAGGTTTAATGAAAAATACAGTAAACATTTATTAAAATTACTTTTTTTTCAGATGAATATGTCAGGATAGGTAAATAAAATCAAATTAACATATTCGGGCCCAGTTCTTAGGAAATGGAAGACTGACACATGTACCACGAGGGTGGGTTAATCTTAGAAGTCTGGATTAAATAAAATCACAGCCTAATCTCACCGGCTGGGTGACAGAGAAGAAACACCGGTGTTGAACAGGAAATACTGAATTGACTTGTCATTTTTAAATGATACAAGTAATTTCGTGCTTATGAGAAACTGGACTACATTGTGAATATAGTAATCTTAACTGGAGAGTATGGGACATGTGTTAATTAAGAATTGTCTAAATCTGGATAAATAAATACAGGATTTACCACCAGAATATGCTATTGTTCCTTGTTCAACTCTTGGCTCAAATTTGACATTTCACTGAGGCCTTCCCTGATCACCTGGTTTCTTACTAAACACTGTCTTCTCCCAACACTTCCTAAAACCACTGCCCCACACTCCCAATCCTCTTACCCTGCTTTTAATTTATTTTTACACAAAATTTTTGATTTCATAACATCATGGCATTTATTTTTTATTATATTTATTTCTGCATGCCTTTCTGCTAACATAGACACTTCACAAAAATGGAAATTTTTTTTTCTATTTTTTTCACTGACAGATCCCAAGCATTTAAACACTAAAAGGAATTTAATAATAGCTCAGTGAACCTTTGTTAAAAGGGTAATAATACTCTGTATTGAGGAACATTGGACAAAAAAGTTAGTTTTTCCATATTACAGCAATTCATGCCAATCAAAGGGCAAGAAATGTTCATATTC